GTCTTTAAATACGGCATTTTTTGGGCCACTAACAACATTTTATTAGCAAGGAGTTGTTAATTATTGTTGTTAAGCCGTTACTGATCCAAAAGCAAAGTTTTTAATAAAGCATAAAGGTTGAAAGGCTTTTTAGAAGATGCGGAATTGAACCATATTACCTACCTTATAATATTCTTTGTGACGAGTACTTTGCTACCTACAGCAGAAACGTTCGAGAGGGATAAGTTCGTCCCATTCCAAACTTAGTAAATTCATGGGCAAACGAGGGCCAAAAACGAAAAGAAATCTTTTTGAGTTATTCTTTACCAAAGACACGCTGCTCCCAACCCAAAAGACAGGAAAACATACAGAGAAAGAAAATGGCGGGGAAGTGTGATTACCGGAACTTTTATGAAGAATCAGTTAAATTCAAAATAGGAACAAGTAGTACGTGAATATTGTGGTACCTACTCGATGTCAATACACTTAGGTTCCTATTACGTTTAATATGAGCGATCGTCGAGAACCCTTTCGGATTTCTCTACTCCATGAAGCATTTGAATGATATACATTGATACGGCCAGATTTACTGGAATTGGGTAGCTAGGCACTAAACTTTTGATGGGTAAAAACCATGGAGTCTAATAATTACCCGCGTATACGTATAAGATGCTTGGCTTCGCCACGAAATTGTGACTACTAAGCCCCACACGAACCTTAGCAAATGCTAAGTGTATATACTTTTCGTTTCGCCAGAAGGTGTAAGGAAACCACGGACGTCAAGGAAACGCACCAACAGTAGTAAAACGAACGCACTGCAACAGATACAAGAGTGATATTAGGCTATTATATCGAGAGGTCCAATCCACGAACATTTCCAAAAACCAAGACCACTTCCCTAACACAAATGTTTCACCCAAACGTGAACAACACGCCTATACCAAAATGGATATGTCCAAAACCAATGCCAATTTCCTCTTCATAAGAGCTTAACCTATTCAAAATAGAGGAATAGGCTTTTGCAGAATAAGGCACAATCCAATCGTCCCAACTACAGTAGACGCGCCTACCCTCTATTAGTGTTGAGTAATACTTAAGTACCAGGGTACTTAAGTACATAATATGTACTGGATACTTGTACCTAAGTACTTTATTTGCGACGAATTAGAAAGTCCTTGACATTGAAGTACGTACTTGATACTTATACCTATACAAACTACAAAGTGCACTAGGCGACTAAATTTTAAACCAGAGGGTGAACAAGTTAACTATATGTGGTTACTGTGGGTGGTTTTATAGAGATTATAGCAAAGAGTAACCATAATACTCTTTGATTATAGGTGAAAACGCCCCTTTGCGTCGCCTTGGTGAACAACCCATCCTTCATCACTCACACTGCAGCATAAGAAAAACTATGAGGGGGTAAAGGGGAAAAGAGATTCGGCGTAACAAACCCGAAACAGAAATACGCATCTTGCTGAAAATTGTCACAGACAAACTCCACTGTCAGAACACGCTAACGGAGCTTTCGACCTCTCAGAACTTATAACACGAGCCACGAGTTCCCGTCTCTCACTGGGTCCCTCGACTTTTATCTCAAGAAAAATTTACCGCTGAATTTACATAGTGTTCCACAGAGACATCCTCAAAAATATTTTGGCAAAGTTCCCTGTGGGAAAATATGATAAGTCTGCCCATTTAGCCACGATGGTAAAATGTAAGGGTAAGTGAAGTTTTCATTGAGATCCCTGACACATTTATTCATTGTAACTTTGCTGAAGGGGGGAAAAATTGCCTTTTTTGGCACAACTCGATCATGAAAGCTCACCCTCAGAACAATTAAAACTCGACGCCATCTTAAATAATATATCCTCCCCCTCCCTGAGGCAACTAGCTCCAGGTTTTCATGGAAAATTCAACTCAAAAGGCATATGCTGTTAGAGTGTACCCCTCTTTTTCGAGTTTCTTAGTAGTAAATATTGCGAGTTCTAAGTGAATTTATCTATACGGGCGATCCTTTCTGGGACAATTACTATAGAACGAACATTCTGAATGGGAGCATCCGGGGCCGAAGTTGCACTGTGGAGGGAATTTTCTGTGTACCTACTTACATTAAAATACATTACTTTTAGATGCAACATTAACAAAATGTTATTGGGGCTGTTGGAAAAACTGCATTCCTCTTTCCACCAAAAAGTCGCAACCGCATTTTAGGGAAATGTTCCCTACCCTACCACCATCCTTTTAAAATAGGTGAAAGTAGAGCCGACAAAGGTCGTTTGCCTATTTTTAATTGAATAATTATTAGAGAAAGGTTTACATTACGAGAGGATACAAACGTCACTTTGCGGCACCGTTTTTCAAATACACGAACAAACATTCGCATCATGGGTGTGCAGTTTTATGGAGAGGTCCAGCACTGTATTTCACCATAATTATTATTGTCACATATGCACAGGTTGAATACCAAAGCACACATATGTACCTACCATATTTGATTACGTCTTGATGGCATATTTTCACAAACCACAAGAGGGTCAGAAGAAGCTATATTATATTGGAAACGTAAACTATAATTTGCTTTGAATAAAAGAGGTCCCATCGTTTTATAATTACCAATTTATTATAAAAAAAGAACGCATATTCCTCATACTTAAATGAATAAAAAATCAAGAGTTAACAATGCAGTCATTAAAAACCCTGTGTTTGATAATCATTTATATCTGTGAGAGAAAAAGTTTAGCACAAAAATCTCGAATTGCAGTAATTAACTTTTCAAGATTCTTGTTGTAACAACCTTAGAAAAGCAATTTTTCATAAATTTGCTTTTTGAGTATGAATGACATGACCAAAATTTTTTTTATCATCACAGGCTTTACAACTCAACTACCTAGTATCTACCTACAAAAATAAGAATACTGCATAAGTGCATATACTAATCATTCCTTTATCATATTGTATATTTAACACCAAACTAATTGGTGCCTGGATGTTTATAGCAGACCAGTTATTTAATTTTATGTCCAACTGTACCAGTTCATAATCCTAAGGGCTAAATGGTCATGTGTCAAAGTCAGCATCTGTTGTTATATGGGAAAAATGTGATAGGATACATTTCCTTGTAGCTACAGGACGAGTTTGTTTTCCAACGGTTAGTTTATCAACAATTGCAGTTTTACTAACTCAATTATAAAGGCATCAGTCCAGAAAAAAAATTCGAAAATTGCGTAACCACTACACCAAATGGAGCTCGTTCTCCATTTTGGACTCACAGTCTAGGTACTGTTTAAGATCCAAATGTTAAACATCAGAAAGAAACCACTCTGTACAAAAGTTCAGTTGGACATAAAATACTGTACGTGCACAACTTTGGCTAACTGACATCCTGTCTAAAATTCATCCTAGTACCTACATTTACCTTATTAATATTCAATATATCTTCATTGCTTTGATTGAAACACAAACTGAAAGCTATATAACCGGAGCGCCACTGTGTAATGATGTGGTGTACTAGAATGCTTTTAGACAGAATAACCTGTATTATTAAACTAAGAAGCGTTTGAACATAGGCAAATTAATTAGCAACCTAGATTACCAAACTGTGCTGTAAACGGTAATGCACCAACTTTTCTGTTCTGTTTAGTACTGTTAAGTGGTTGTTTCTTCTCCCGACAAATTTGTAAAAAACATACAAACAGTACAGTTACACCAATACATAATCACAGTTACATATAATAATCAGCACAAAAGTGTTACAAATATTTGTTACATAATAACAGTAGAAACAGTTGTACAAACAACATTAGGCATAATGGGCGGGGTCTACACATGTAACGTCAAATGATCTTGTTCTTGATCATCTCGATTTGAAGACAATAAAGTCAATTACGTTTAAAGACATTATGAGCGTAAGCATATTGTGCTGGTATTACATCTGTGGGGTGCAGATACACATTTTTTTCAACATGGATGAGAGAGGATAATTGTCACAGAAATATCGCATATTTTAATAACCATATAGATCAGGCTATGGAAGGACATACAGAAACCTACTTTTTCTAAATTTACACACTTTAATTTTTAATCATACAGGGCCAATAGGTATTTTGAATAAATCACCCTACAGTTTATTGAAAATTTGGACCTAATAAATATTAATAAGTGCAAGACATGTGAAAACCTGCAGGAAAGTTGACTCTTTGAAAATCAAAGGGAGATCAAAAATTGAAAAGCCAGTGTGCTACTACTTCTATTTTCCGTATGTCCTTAACGCCTTAGCATTAATTGACACTGTACACTTATCTATTATTCTGAAATATTGTAGATTAAAAAAATGTGTATCATAGAATCTGATACAAGAATTATTCAATATGCATTTCAATAATGTTACATTAGAATTATCGTATGAGAAGCTGAAACATTAAAAGTATACATATACTTCCAGGATAAATTGTGCTTGCATTGCGTATTCATATCATTATTTAGAAATAGTAAGAAGTGTACAGAGTGTACCAAAAAGATGCAGGTACTCAACAGTATTATTCAAAGTTGAATTGGTTTATTTGTTTATTCACATCCTTAATAAATTATGAGGTTCAGATTTTTTGGAACTCCCTGTAAATACTATACCACATATTTTTAACACATAGTGTAGTCCCTCTCCCCAATAACGAAACCTGTTGGAAACATCAGAATCCCAACGTTTTTCAATTCTATCACGAACTCATAAATAACCACAAAATTACTTTAGAATTTGATATTTCGGTTATACTTTTCTAACGCACTAGCCTATTAGATAAATCAAAATCCGACTCTTTTGAACGATTAGTATTGACTTTTAAAGTTTCCAAAAAAATATGTTTTATCATTTTAAAAAGCTTTCTTTAAAGGATTTGGTTAAGGCATATATGAACTTTTGAGCATATACTGATCTGTTTTTATCAATTAGAACTTGGATTCCGACTCTTTCTTAGCGCGAATGCCAATATAAACCGAATAACTCAAAAAAGAAAAAAAAAAACTGTGATCAAAACCATTTATTACAAATAAATAAAATACAAAAATTTGGTTTAAACTAGAATAAATGTCATCCGAATTATCATTGGCAGTGAGTACAACTCATCTGCTATCACTTATTTTATATTAATAAAATATTTGTTTGTTTCATGTATTAATAAAATACATTCATTTTAACACGCCTTTTATGTAACCCTAATTGCTCCTTAATAATATATTTCAAATGGAACGTACTACATGATAGGTTTGCAGTTTGAAACTGTGGCACCACTTATTGCAAAATGTCGACTTTTAATTTTAAGTACTCAAAATTGTGAATTACGATTGTGCATTCTTAATTTTATGCAAAATGGCCATATAGTATAAGGATTATGTAGAACTAACATTAACCAAAAAGGATCAACATTTGATTTTCTGTGCCTACTTCAAGTTCCAATTAACCAATGCAATACAGTTAAATAACACATTTACTAAATCCTATCATGCAAACATAAAATTTTATTCGGTGGTGTCCGAATCTATTCATGGGGACGGTTAATTCCAATTTAATGTAAAGCTGATTGCTTGCACCAATCACGAATCATGCAGTTCTGTGTCACTAAAAACTAAAAGTTTAAAGTAGCATCAAAGCATTTTTGAATATGTCCATTCAAGCTGTTTAAATGAAATGAATGTTTTGGTATCAAATTAGTACCAAATTTTGGTTCGGTTGTACTGCATTGGTTATACTTTAAGCACATGTACAACTGTGACATGAAAAAATTGGGTGGATTAATAGTATTTAACAATTTCTGTATTTACATTATTCAGTATAAAAGGGCGAATCGTCTAAGTGCATTTATTGTCAAAATGATCATAACCACAACCATTTTTGGTTTAGACGAGTGTTACATGGTCCAACTTATAAATAATTGACTTTTGTTTTAGAATGAAGTTTTCACATGCTGAAGTAGGCGTCAAAGGTAGAAATACTGATATGAATTGTTTATTGACTTTCCTTGTGATCTGGGTTAGGATAATATTGACACTTTTTTGTATTGATACTTTCAAAAGTTTATCAACCACATTACGAAAGAAGGGGTAAGAATACACATCATACTAATCATGATCAAATTGTAATTAGAATTCTGAAATTCAATAAGTAGTGACAATATGCTTTAAGACAAAGTTCAGTTGGAAGGTTTATTTGGCAAAAGAAGGGTTGAAAAAAGATACAGTGACTTTATGAAACTTAACCGTCATTATCTATAGTTTTGGATTTAAAAATTCCTACATAATCCTTCATCTTAGTTTATTTCGAAGTATTACTGGTTAAGTAAGTGGTCTCATAAGACTACTTAGATATTTATGGTTTTTAAGTACGTGTCAAAAAATAAAAACAGATTATTGCTATAGTGCAATTTTTAAGTTCCCTTACACAATATTGGTACAAAAGGCGAAACAAAGACAAAATCAAAAAGAGAACTCTCTGCATTCTACCATAGTGGTGTATATGTTAATAGTTAAGTGTGCACTCATATGCAAGTATTAGGCTTTATTAACCGAATAGGTGCAATAGTAAGTGGCTATTATGTTTACTGCCTTGCTAAAATATAATGCTAATTTACATTTTTATTAACATTGTACTTTTCAAACTACTTGTTCTCGATGAAAATCTAAAAAAATCACGTTGCATAGTTCTTTCTTAATACTTAGCTAATTTGTACAGTGTCTACAGCATATCCAGAAACGCCTTAAATTAGTAATATCATATAACAATAGTCGTCTAGCTAATCTGTTATTCCCAAAAAGAACTGAAAGAATATGCTGTAATTAATATTGCAATACTGTTTAAGCACCATCAAATGATTCATACGAAATACATAACCACTGTTTGTTTGAAGCAATAACTAATGGTTAATAAAAATCTAACCATCTAAATTAATGTTTTTCAAAAGTTAGATACCTTTAGTAGTAAAATTTCAAGCTCATCTGCTACTAAATAGCTACCGTTCAAGAAATAATAGCAGCATTAGGATAAGTAACATAAACTAAGTAAGCACTTGAACTTTGCCAAAAAAAATAGGATCCATTTGACTTTCTCCAAATAAACTAAGGCAAGAAGTTACTTTGGAAGCAACTGGGATAACTAATCGGTGTTATACAACAAGTGTCAGATGAAATGACCATTTAAAATGATCTAACTGTGCAAAATTGCCTAGGTGTTATTCTAATTATAACTGCCCTTCCTTTTCTTTCAAACTGATATTGCCACACGAAACAGCATCATTCTGACAGTTAGGGTCATCCTCTTTGTTTTCGCATGATGCCTTAGCAGCCGTGGATTTTAAATCAGTACCACCAGGTGGGGAGTTAGTTTTAAGGCCGGATGTAGACGGATTTGGAGAAGCAGGAATTTCGTACGTTGAAACAGAGCTAATATTACGCCGATGACCAGCTGTAAATCCTTTCTCTTCAAATACTGTAAGCCGACTTATACAAAACTCTGAAATTGAAAAATGCTACTCACATTTATCTAAACTAATAATAGAGCCAACAATTTCGTTTGCCGTCATTCCTGCAATTTCATCCATTTGCCGGCGACGTCTAATCAGCCACCAATCGGTTATGAAAATTGCTAAAGCCAGAATTTTAATTCCGGCACATAATCCGACGTACTTATAACGAAATTTTTCGATGTCGTACAAGAGACATCGCCCACCTTTGGTACCACACGTACTCTTCCAAAGCAAGCACGTAGAGTCTATTAGGTTGCCAAACAAAATCGGAGCGGGTATATAACCAAACAGTCGAAATATTACAAATTGCATTCCTAAAGCAAACGACCTCTCTTCCTCACCGACGGATCTGCAAATACGAAATTTAATACGGGAACAGGTCGTTTACTACGGTTACCTAAGCACAATCATTAGTAATGGCATTTGAGTTACAGCTACAATAAATGTCATAAAAAACAATAAAATCAGAAATGGATAAATAGTATGGCAGGAAGAGTTGCATGGACCAGCAGTAGCGACGGGAACTACTGTGACTTCAGCATATTCAGCATCGGCAGTTCGAGCACCCAGTGTAACTGCAGATGTTGTCCCCGTTATTAAACTCATATTACCGTGTATGCCTGCAAAAAACTATGTTTCCAAATAGAAAACTATAAATAAACTTACAGGCACAGTTGGTGTAATTGGACCTTAAAATGGAGGTGCAACCGGCGTGACACGGACTAAAATAGGTTAACCCATTATTTCCACATACAGGCTCAACGTCATTCATGCTACATTCACATCCAAAATTACAAGATGACGTAAGATTCACTTGGAATGGTTCGGTATGAGTACTATTAAAATATGGAATCGTAGTGCCGGCCATTTTGAGATTGTCGCAGCCCAAGAAGAACAGCAAGGCGTAACAAGAGAGACAAATAAAGTTGGCAAAAAGTACAAATTGTATCGCTCCTTTCGGTCGCAATTCCATACGCTTCAAAATGCAACCACCCATAAATATGCCAATGCACGCACCGGGTATAGCGATGGAACCTAAAACAAAAATTATTACATCTTCTCTTTCATGCCAGTCTTTAATATCGGTTATATTTTTGCCAAGGAAGTAATTTTGATAAAAGGTTGTGGGCGCATGCGCAAATGAACTTTTTTTCACAAATGAAAAAAGGTAATATTAGAAGACGCATTCAGAACACCTAACCAGATAGGGTGAAAATGAAAAAAATTCCAGTAAAGTCTTACGAGGCGTTTTTAAACTGCACCTAATGGATTGAAAAAAAATGGGAGATACCTATCTAAAAACCAACTGCATACGTAACTCTTTCCACATAAATGTCCACGTTGATTTTACTTAGACCAAGAAAAATATAAACTACAACCTTCCGATCGAGAGTTATCGTGCGCACAGACGGACGAACGTAGAACGGTCACAATTTTGAGAGAAAGGAAATAGTACTTCCTCCAATCAAAAATTGCGACAAACCGGTCAGTAATCAAAATATAATCAACTTGGTGAAATGTGCGCATGCGCAGGATCCCCTTTCTGCAAATATTATTGTGCAATTTTTACAATTTCTAATCAAACCAAACGTAGTGCTAATGTCAAATTTCTTATCTGAATGTTAACCACATTTGTGTTTCTACTGAAGCCAAACGTAATGCCCATGCCAAAGGTGTGCATTTTAATTTTGGAAATATTTTTCTGAAATTCTAACCAATAAAGACCAGTTTCAAAAATTAATTGGACGCATGCGCAAAACACGCAAGTTTATTCTCATATTCCCTTTTGTCCAATGGACGTACTAAGTATGTTAAGATTGTCATGTAAATTATATAAGTAAATTTTACTTTGCATCACCTGGAAGTACAGGAACACAGGCATCAACATTATTTATTAGTGGACGCAAAATATGTAGGATAGGATAAGGATCTTCTGGAATTGGGTACATACTGGTTTTTGCAAGTCTTTTGAATTCTTTTGTGGTGAACGTGAATTTTTCTTCGGGAAAAATAACATCCTAGTGAGCGAGTATTCCAGCAGTGGCGAATTTTTCCCGGTGGAGAGGGGAGGGGGATCTCAGAGGCGTATTTACTTGGGACCAGCAGGAATCTGGGTTTATATCAGTCACTCCAAGAGAGACTCGTTTTCTCTAGTTCTTCTGGATCAAGTTGATCGGTTGATTTTTTAAGAGTAGGGTCCTAGTAAGCAAGTATGGCGAATTTAGCGAGGATGCAATTCTTTGTGAATCGAGTTGTCTTGAACGTAAATTTTTCTTCAAAGGTAATGTTGTGAGAGAGTGTCTGCAGGGGAGAATATTCTTCGGATTGTACTTTTTGACTATTATGTATGTAGAATGTATATACTATCTACAATTTACGTACTGTAGATGGCGTAAATACTGTAGGTACAAATGGACTGAAAATGTACGAGGGTGGTCTGAAAGTTTCCGAGCTCAACGTCAAGATGGCAGCAGTCGTCAATAAAATCTGTTGGCGCAGTAAATCAGTTTTGGCGAAGATTAATACTGTAGATGAAACTTGGATACACTATTATACAGTCAAAGCAGTGGACTGCGAAGGGAGAATCAGCTCCAAATAAAGCAAAACTGTTTTTCGGCTGGGAAAGTGATGGCGACTGTTTTTTGGTATAACCATGGAGTTATCTTAATGGATTAGCTTCAAACAGGAGAAACCATTACAGGAGCATACTACGCATCATTACAAGTTTAAAGGCAGAAATTGCGGAAAAAAGGTCACATTTGCAGAAAAAAAATTCTGTTTCACGAAGACAATGTACCGTCTCACACCTCTGTGGTTGCCATGACGAAAATCCACAAATTACGATTTGTACTGCTTGACCACCCTTCTTATTCACCAGATGTAGCCTCACGCGACCTCTTTTTGTTCCCTAATACAAAAATTGCGCTCGGAGGACAAAGAGGAAGCCATCACATTCGTAAACAATTACAAAAAAACTTTCTTGAGAACTGTACAACAGTACTGACAACAATAGTGACTTGTTAAAAAATGGCCACGAAGAACTGAAACTTATACAACAGGGGCGGAATTAGGTTTGGTATTATTTTATTCGAAAATTCAGCTGAGAGAAATAAGTATAAATGCGAGTAAAAGTGGGCCTGCTGGAGCAGCAAAAGGCTACAAGTTTGAACTCGAGTGAAAATAGACCTACACTGTCCAAGCGTAATGCGTAATAAACAAATAGTCAAATGCAAATCATTAAATATATCAAAAATATTGAATACTTTAATAAGTTAATTGAGATGGAAGGGAGATGACCAAAACCGATGTCGCGCATGCGCGCCTTGATTTCTCTTCTGTTAACATATCAAGATCTAAAATTTCAAAAAAATTATGTATTACTCTTGAGTTATCGAAATTTCAGTTTCCAATCAATGTCAAACAAAATGTCTGAACTATATCTTAAACCGATACTTACCAGTAAACACACTCGCTTGACTTTTTCCTAAACTGAACTGTGTTTCTAAATATTTAGGTAAGAATACAACAAATCCAGACACTATAATGAGTTCCATACACGCGCCAAGACACGTTACAATGTAAATTGGATTACACACCAACCTCCACATTGATTGAGGAATATCTGCAAAGGAACCATCAGAAAACGATTAAAAAGTACGTGGAATACCTTTAACATCCTTGCCGTATCCGCTATCATTTTTTGTTGTGTGTTGAACAGGTGCAGTCGACGCAGAAGTATTATTGTTTCCATTGGATTTGGCAGCCGCCTTCTCCATAAGTCTTATTTTTTCTTTTTCGTGAGTTAATTCTTTTGGAAATGAGAAAAATGGTATTGATACCAGAATCAGTAATAGTCCACCTAGTAAAAATCCCCCCCACCACAAACCCACCCACTTATGATTTCCAGGATCTGAAATCAAAGTGTTATTACAAATTTTGATACTAACAACAGACAAACCGATTGATATAATTTTGGAAAACGAGTCCATATGAAAGGACAACAAATAAGCTCCTAACAGGAAACCCAGAACTGGTCCGAACGCAGCCATACTATACATACAGCCTGAAAAAAAAAGTTAAGCTATACTACTCAATATTACTTACGCACAGACCTATATAAATAGACGAACTATCAGAACGCACGTGATCATCAATATAAGTCGTTCCTAACGTAAAAAGCGGGGAACCTCCACATCCCAAAAGCAATTGAGCAAGAACAAACAACATGACAGGTCCTGTTGTCGATGGCGATCCTTGGATGCAATTATCGCCCCGTAAATTATTATGCGGAGCAAGGGGAGGCGATGATAAGCCCGACGATAAGAGACTGAGTCCCATGTTTTGTTCTCGCACCGAAACGATCCGGCACATATTTTCCTCGGTTGTATTAGTAGTAACTGCACTAACAGTTTCCTCGGCGATAAAATGCGGCACCATAAATATTATGGATCCGACGCCCATTATAACAGCACCCACTCCAATCCAAACGGGTATGTGACGCCTGCTTCCTAAGTAACTAACAAATATAACCGTTATCACATTTCCTATTTCATACGAAGACGCTATTAGACCAGATAGACTTGATGGGATTTCAAATCGTTTTTCAATGGTTGTTATCACAGAATTGATGTAACCAGAACTGAGCGCTTGTTGAAGAGTTACAAGAAAAGACAAAAGAAGTACAAAAGACTAAAATTTCATCAGTAAGTTTTACAGCAGTCGCGTTCATTTACTACCTTAATTCCTGCATATTTTTGTATAAACGGGGGTCGGCACTTTAGGATTCCACAATCATTTGTATCCCTTAATATCACAGTTGGAGTTTCATTAAATGAAGTAGTGTGAGCTGCTTTTTCTCTATTAAAATAACACAGCTTAAATCAAAATGCGCACGAAAGGGATATACCTACCTATCAAATCCGGAAGATGGATTTCGACTGTGACATTTAATGACAGTGTCGTGACAAAAATTTGTAGTCGTATGTTTTTCGGGTTCTCCATCATCTTCTGGAACGCTCTCAGAATATAATCCCGTCATGGCATACATTGATTCCTGCCTTCGGTGACCCTTACGATGTGTGGAGCCACCACCTCCATCACTAGGGGTTGCGGGCGAAGTAACCTGGCCCCCAGTCATGATGCGATGTTGACACAGCCTGATTTACTGATTAAGTGTTACAAATCGACACCATCATACCTGTAACAAGAAATGCATTTTAGCTATATGGCATGGTGAGGACTATTTTTTATGTATTCAGAAGACTAAACCCTCTATGAAAAGGACCAGTGATCTACGTTAAGACTTAACACCAAATCTATGGAACTTTAGCCACCATATTGAATTTGTAAAATTTGTTATTGTTCTATTTCAAACTTAGGGTTTTCCTAGAGCTCTCTTGTTTCTAGTTTGGTTTTCTATTTTTGTAGTGTGTCAAAATGTTCTTTGTGGATAATAAATTACTTCAATAACTGTGCCTTAAAAAATATATGCGTATATATTATATATTATATATTCGAACCTCGATATGCGAATTGAAATCCCAATACTTAATCCAGCAGTCAAATTCAGGCATCCACATTTAGATGCCCATCATTGATATCTGAGTTATTAAAGGAGATAGAAAGAAGGTAGTTTTGCAGAATTCTAAGCTGATATGAAAAAACAAATAAAGCGAGATTAAAGTTAAGCCAAACTTCTGATTTAAACTTTCTTAATAACCGAGATACTGTGGGTGGGCATTAGAAAAGCAGGTCTCTGCACTATTGGATATCTCCCAGTAGCGCATGCACAATCATCTGTCTACCATATCCATGGGCGATTGTGGAATATTACTAGTAAGTTCTCGTATAGCACCGGAAGTAAAGGGTCGGTGAAGGTTTGGCACACTCTACAACATTAAAATCCATTTAAATTATCAAAATTTAGATTTTTATACAGATTATGCGTTCTTAAACATGATATTTTACTTTTTCTTTGTACATTTAAGACGGTTGACTTATGTTTGCATATTATAAATGATGTGATGACTGATAGACATGCACGCATGCCAACAGTAAAAATTAGCTGATAATCAGTTTGAAATTTAATCATGCATAGCGAAAGGTCGATTAACTTTAAAGATAGAAATGGGTCTATTGTGGGTCATAAAAAGAATTTCCTGTAATATATTTATAAGGTAAATTGCGTAAAAAGAAAGGTAGCTTCTCAAACCATCTCCCTTATTCACTACAGTAAAGAAATAAGTAAATTTTGTTTGGGCTTTGTCCGCCTGTGTGCCTATGTAAAGCCATACTCTTTCCTTAGGTGTATTTTTTATGAATTACCTAAAGTGCCATTGGTGGTAGAATACCCCGACTTGGTCATAATTTGTGGGTTCATGACTACGCAAATTTTTTTGTTTTTAAACGCCGTCTATCAAATTTTAGAAAAAGTTCACGAATAAGTAAGTTAGTCTTCCCTTCGTGAAATAAACAAAAGATGATAATGTACTGAAAGATCCAAAGCAGTCAACTAACCAACAGCAGATCACCAAAGGGTGGATGGCCGTCAAATTTAAGGTAAATAGAAACTTTTACAAAATTCTTCTCTAAACCTCTACTATAAAGTACGTTATTCAACATAAAACAATTGTGGTCAATAAACCTTTTCAACTTTTAGCTGACAGACAAAGAACCTTCTAGGTCACCAAAGATAAGCAATCAAGACAGATGTTTTTTTAATATAAGCAAAAAAGGACCCAAAGGCATAACCTGATTGATTAAATTGACCTAAGTCCTAATGGACTAATAGTCCATGTAGCGGAAGCAGCAAACATGGGCAAAACAACCGTTGCCGTCTCGCTAGACAACGAGAAGGCATTCGACAAGGTGTGGAAAGCGGGTTTGCTGGTCAAGCCACAGTTACTTACAAGGCAGAACCTTTAGGGTGAGGGTAGAAGATCACCTTTCACGAGTCACACCGGCGTATGCAGGCGTCAACGTCTACATAAACGACGTACCAAAGCCTCTACGCCGACGACCTACTAATGTTCACTGATAACAGGCGCAAGGAACCGGCAATTAGAAGAGCACAGGACACCCTGTCCAAGTCGTTTCGTGATCGGGTCGCTGAAGGCTAAAATTCAATGCTGCAAAGACAGAGACCATCATCTTCGGCAAACAAAAAACCGATCGACTTGCGGCATTACAACTCTAGAGAAAAGAGCTGCAGTGGAAAAACGAAATCACCTACTTGAGCGTAGCAATAGACATGTGGCTAACGTTCACTAGACACATTTCCGCTGCTGGCAGTAAGCTCATTAGAAACCAGAACAAAACCAAAGCCTGCATAAGGCCCATAATCACATACGCATCCGCAGGATGGATGATGTACTGATCGCCAACCAAGAACCAACGTCCGAAAGAGTACAATCAAGTACCCTCCGAACCATATTCAGAGCACCGTGGTTCGTCAGGAACGACACTATACGAGACAACCTCAAGATTACCGCCGTCGGAGATCACCTACGCTTGTGGGCCGAGATCTTCGACGGAATAGACAACTCCACCATCGCCCAGAGTAGGCGAATTGCACCAGTTTCGGGAACGCAAGAGAAACACAAGAAACATGTCATGAAGATTTGGGAGTGACCACAAAGCAATAAAGAAAAATTTAAAAAACGCAACAGTAAATTCTCTTCAGAATTGACCTCGGCGTTTTTCAAAAAATCGCTATCTGAAAATAGTGGAGGAGTGGCGAGAGTGGCAATGTAAACATATATACTTTTAAAAACACATTTTGTCACTTTCAGGGCTTTACTAAAATAAAACATTCCGACGTCACAGAAGGCTATCTTATGAATTAATTTAGTGCAAGGTTTAGTGGTTATAAACACCACTTTCGATCATAATGAGTTATTGTAAACACTAGTAATTGCAGTAACAGGCGTTTAATAATTGTTCTGGTCATATCGCGTCCCCTACAAACATGAAATAGACGGTGCGAAGCGATTTACAGAAATTGAAATATGGGCCTGTTTCGTAACAAAGGATTCATATTACAACCGAGCTAGCTTCAGACAGAAGAGAAGATGGTTCCTATACGGACAACCTCTCAGCAGAGGTACTGAGGCTCACTTTCACGGAGCCACCACTACGTCATACCTCAACTGGCCAGACGCAACCGCCTTCACTCGGAAAATAAGTCGGGCGAGGCTGGATTGTGCAGTTGCTGAAACTCAGAGCAGTGCACATCAATGTTGGCAATGAAACACTGAGGTGCAGGTGCATAGTAGTGAGACGATGCCCCCAAGCTGGGGTGTTATCACCACTTCTGTGGAACTCAACTGTAAATCGTCTACTCTGTCGCCTCAACGACAATGGTTACTATACGCTGGGGTATGGGGTATCCATACTAAAACACCGAAAAATTTAATGCAGTTTGATGCAATGGTCCCGAGGATAACTACCTACTCCTTATCCATAAACCCACCCGACAAAAACGGACCTAGTTCTCTTCACAAGAAAGAGAAAGGTAGGGAGTTTCAGAGTTCCCCTGCTACTCTAAAATCAACTTCAATTGTCAGAGTCAGTGAAATATCTAGGTATCACACTTGACAATAAACTCAATTGGAGCAAACATCAGCCCATATCGTAATCTAGTGCGTTTTTGCACAAGGCTATCACGAAAAAACCTGAGGTCACTTGTGGGTATACTTTGTGGGCATTGTAAACTAAACAGGCACATGCACCACATGGATCTGGTAGAATCACCATCTTGTAGAGGATGTTACATAGGCGACGAGACGGCACACCACATATTTTGTGAATGTCCCGCTCTAGTCCAACTGAGACGATCCATGTTGGAGGTATCCTTCCCTTCCAGCACCCTTAGGTTCATCTCACGTGTGGGATGGCTTGAGTGATGTGGGGTCGGGCGACTCTAGTCAGGCATGTAGTACACAGGGCCCGAATGGGAGGCCTAAGCACGTGTAGTCCTAATCCACCCTCCTATCATAATCCAGCATTCAATACCCGCTTGTTAGGATAATGGAACCATGTCATCAGGAAAAGTTGGGTACTTTTTACCTCGCTTTTTACCAAAATCTTGTTAAAATGTTCACTTATTTTGTACAAAACGTAAGGTTCCAATTCCAATGCGGTTGAAAAAATTTCTAGGAAATTCCAACAAAGCTTCACTATACAGGGTGTACATTTTTCACGCCTCCACTCCACGAATCTTCGTTGCTTAAGATGTCAGTTATAGAGAATAGGTGCTACATTTACCTATAGGCAAATAATGAATTTTTATTTTACATAATTATTGAAAATTGTTCCAAGTTTTCATTTTTGCCGTTATTTGTTCTAAAACCTTCACATCTTGCTTAAAGGTGCGACATGTGGTGGCAATTTTAGAATTTATTAAATTTATTTACCTAATTATTTTTGTTATGTATAAGTATATATTTGTAGAAATCAAGGTGCTTTGAAAACTTTCGCTTTGCGGAGTTCTAATACAAATCGACTGTCCATCATCAGACACAATTTAACCAAAAATAATGCGTTAATCTACCCTACCTTACTAATAAAACGTAATCCACCCCAACCCTCAATGGAACAACTTTGCCTTGAAAGTATTAGTTTGTATTATACTATGGTATTAGCTTTTACGTTGTAGAGTTTTTAATAAAAAAACGAGTTTTAACATTAAGAAACGCATGTTAGACAAAAACCAAATACAATTCTTTAATCTCCCGTACCTTAGAGCCCACGACAACGATCACAAAGCCAGTCCCGAGCCCAGTCCACCCCAACCTATAATGGAGCAACCTTGCCTAGAATGTATCAATTTTTACTTTGCGCGGTTTTTAATAAAATTTATTCAAAACCCACACAGTGCAACCCACTTAATGAATATATCCAGACCTTCAATTTTCTCTTTGTCCATAAAGTACTCTGTTGCGCTAAAATGAAATAATTTCTTTGATCCTTTCTATACATTAAATTAGTAAGTACATTTATATGGTACCTACCTACTTGTCACGACACTTTATTTTACGGTTTGGCTGTTGTCATTTCGAAGCTAAATAAATTTACGGCAATTATGGATAAAATCAATGCTACGGAAATGAAAACAATTGCCCAAAATTACGCAAGAGGATTGGCAAAAAAAAAGTTGTTAATGATCGGGCAGAGAAAATGCGATATCCGGAATAAATTTAGACGCAGCTACATGCATTGATTAACGTATTCCCAGGAACATGTTAATCAATGCAACAGGGAATATTGCAGGCGGCGCTCATTAAAATTTAGTTTCGCTGTCCATCGAATATCAATATGGAAACCACGCTCTAAAACTTTCAAAATTCTATTCTGTTTCCCACTAATCTAATTAAATTAATAGTTGCAGGAGCAGGAGCCATAAATTAATGATCCTCAAACCAATTATACGCTCTGCAAACGGTTACGTTACAGCCGGTATGACGCAAACAGTTGCTATTGACACAGGTTACAAAGAAAAACAAATTTATAAATTTACGTTCACTATCACAATTATGTATTAAAAAATAAGTAGGTTTAAAATTACGTAAATGCGTTTTTAGAAAGTTATAAAAGTGTAACTATAACAACGCTATGGGTATTTTATTTATAAAATCTTATATGCGTTAAGTAAGTGTAGCAAATTGATTATTTCAGTCTTACTCCTGCATTTAACTATACGAATAACTATAAAACCGTGGCACTCGCGCGAGTGGCTATACTTGTAAATTTCATTTTATTTAACTCAATTTCCTAACGCATACGACAATCCAGTTTATAAAATGATGACCTACACAATTGTATCTTTATTATTAGCAGTATCTGCAGTTGAATTTTCTTAAAATGAAGTCATAATAAAGATGAAACGCGGAAATTTTTCAATTTCCACAATTTCTTGTTAAAAAGATAAAACCTTGGCGAAACTCATGGCTGAACATTGTTTAAATAAATCATAATGATATTGGGTACGAGGCATTCCATATCAAATTAACAAATTTTTAATTTTAATAAACAAATTTAAGGAAGATCTTTGTATATTATTTGAATGAGGAATTAAAAAGTCCAAAAATATTAGAAGGTTTTCGAGTGAAATCACCAAATTTACTTTTTGGGCGTTGAGCTAATGCGTTCAGACGAATTCCAAACGAAATCATTTTGTTATTGTTCAGAAACCAGTTTAGATGCAACAGTTGTAACAATACTTACTTGGGATCCCATTCATCCCATATCGTCTGTCATGCATAGCCAAATGGTATTGTTGTCTGAAACAAAAAAGGCAACTTAAAACCAATACACTGAATTAGGAGGTAATCACTATTGTATTGTGATGCTAACGGTCCCTGGTTCGAATCCGGGTTCGGGAATGGATATTTTTAAATGTATAGTGGGTTGGGTTGGTAGAGCAGCCTTGGCGGAAACCCCGCCTACTCAAAAATAAAGGCAAAATAAAAAATATGTGCATGCACATTTCTGCTACCTAAGTATTAAATACAAATGCAATCTGTTGTGCGGTACCCTTAAGGATATGCATGTACTGGTTACCATTTAAATGACACCAGTCAGTACACGGAATATTGGTAACCAGAATCTAGAAAAACAGTAGTATTATTTTTCCGACACCGTTAGGGCTACACCAGACTGCGCAATGCCACCTATTGTCCCATAGCGAGATATTTTTTTAAAATTTAACCACAGATGCTTCTAGTAAGGGCAAGCATGTCCCATAATGCATTTTAATGATAGATGCTATTAGTAGAGAAAAAGATAGCGCACATAGCTATGGCCGAGGCTATGGCTGTTTAGGAAGTACTGCCTTCTCATGGAAAAACGCTAAAGTTACTCGCAATTTCAAAAGTACGGTATTCATAATATTAAGTAGTACTAAACGAATCTAATAAAATTTCCAAATAGCTAGTACACGGGATATCGAATGCCAAAAGCAGTTACCTCGGCCGTTACAGTGTACTACACACGCACAATCTGCATAACGCCTTTTAGTGCACTTTCAAGAAGTAAAGAAATTTGCTACTATTAAGCAGAGTGCACATTTTCTCGATCGGGCTACAACACTGGTGACAAACATACAGAGTTGGAGAAGAAGAAACATGGGGAACTTTTTCTAACCGAGAATGGGCTAAACCGAGGGGTAAAGGGCGTGTACCTGCTCAGACTAAAAAGTAAACCACGCGAGATGGAGAAGTGAGAGAGATGGGACAGGTCACGCAGTCCTGGAAAATGAAAGATGGAATTATAAGAGATTATGCCTAGAACTCACAATCGACGAGGAAATTGACAATATAATTAACCTCATGCTAAAGCGGCTTTATGGTTCAGTGGTAGAGCATTGGACTATAAATCCGGAGGTCGGGTGCTCGAACCTGGGTTGAAGTAAATTTTTCATCTGTGGCATAGATGGGACTTAGACCAGTTTCGAGCATTCTGCCGGCTACTCTGAATTAGGCTTTCCTGCAGTTTTCCTAATTCGTAAGGTAAATACCGGAGTAGTATAGAACAACTTAAAACCTTCTGCAGAGGCACCTCTAAAATGCATTATGCGGGTGATACTCTGTAATTGGGCGCAAGCCTGTTGAGGGCACAGAACAAGAGGGGGATAATAAATAAAAAAAAAAAAATAAATAAAATCAAAGCTGGAATGGCATCGCGAGCACGATAAATCATATAGTAAGAAGTAACGGAAGAATGCCGTCTGCGATGCTCGATACTGTTATCCGAGTGAGAAGAGGAGGGTCCAAGGCCCACACTCCCCCTGCACCGAACTCAACAGCAGAATAGTTTTTATAATAAAAGAAGACGTTCTAACCGCCCTTTGAGAGTACCCTTCTCCGACACTACGTCCTGGGGATATTCGCATTTAAAAGTTTTGACATCACCAGTTGATATTACTCATCCATAAATCTAGACGCGAGATATTCGCACTCTGAAATCACCAATGGATATTGTTTCTTCTAAACGTTCCCGTCGCTCTTTATGAGTACCCTCCTTCCACGATGCAATTCATTTCGAACTTGGAATGTTGTAAGCAATTAATGTCAAGACTCAAGAGTAGTTTAACATTGAAACCATGGGGGAAATAAATTTATTTTAGGCACTTTTGTGAGTAGTGTGCCCGTCACACAGTTTCAATTCAATTAACAAGTTATAAATGAAACAATTAATTTCAAACTCGGAATTTAGTACGCAATTAATATAGAGAGTGGTTTAGTATTAAAACCATAGCGACAATAAATTTATTTCAGGCAGTAAATAGGTTGTACCGCAAATCGTTAGTTAGCATCCCCAATTTAATAAATATAAAATCTGCCAAATGCGCGGAGCAATGAATTCCACACTACAGCAAAAAAGAGCAATAAATAAAGCACTTTATTATGCGCTATTACATTTAACAGAATTCGATGGTGAGGGTAGCACGAACGTCTTTTTATGGGATTCAAATTGCTGCCTTCAGAAATGTATGTCTATGAACTTCTTATCATCGAATTTTGAAATTTATTAATAGTTTCTATTTGCACCCAAATACTTCACCAATGCTTTATCCTCAAAAATCACGATTATAAAAATGATCCGAAATTTTAAAATTCCAGTTTTCATTGTAGGAAATGATCAATTTGGGACTTTGAGTTTATTTGGAAAAATTGCTTGTTCTCGCCCAGTTTTTGGTATAACTATTTATTTGTTACACCCTGTATTTGTTGTACCAGGTGGCGAAATGATAGTGGCATGTGAATATATCCCCGGAAGTAATAAAGCTAGAGCTTGCGGATAAAATCTTTTTATATAGAAGTGGTGAAGAGAAAATGCTGGAAATGATTTTTAGATTCTTAACGGGATTTTCTATAAAACTTTAGATCGAATGATCTAACAAAAGTGGCTGTAAGAGCAAATGGCATAGGAAAAAAAATTCTTCCACAGAGAGCTACTTTGGGGGGCTATGTTCCCAATATTAGAGTTTTTCTTTATTAGTTTCAGCAAAGAAAACGCGACCTTGGTTTTGAAATGCCTCTTCTCCCTGTCTCGCATTATTTAGGTGTTGGTCTCTAATACCTCATAATCGATCTTCTTTTGGACATCTGCTAAACGACAGGTAGGTACTTACAAAAAGGTTTTTCTTGATCGTCTAACCTTTGATCTGGAATGTGAGCTGGATTTACATTTGATAGGACAGAGTGACCAATTATTTATTATCTGTAAAGTCGGCCATTTCCGAGATCAATGTGCCGCACTAATATCGAATTAATAGGCTGTATTTCCGTAAAGAACGATTTCCCGACTTTGCAATGAGCTACATTTGCAGTAGGTACAATTCAAAAGACTCGAAATAGGTTGAGAACTAATTTTACATTTAGATGTTGCAGTAATGAATAAACATTCTCATTCTCTTCCTGAATACAGCCATAAATCTAGACGTCTGTATTTTGAACACTGTGCCGTTTTCAACTTTGAGCACCTATTTACAGTTGCGCTTACGTGTGAAAATAAACCAAGATTTTTATTACGCTGGTCACTGAACCTAAGTGCAACAAATTCATATTTATTACATAAATAAGTGACAATTAATTAATGTTAGTCATTGCCTGTCACAATCAAATCTCCAAAACGACATCCGCTACATTTCGTGCAGCAGTTATTTTCCCTAGTCTTGAATGAGGCCACTTCAGTCGAAAATTACATTCAGCGAAATTGCTATTTTCCAATTCGATCACTCCATAAAACACCGTTCTAATACGAAAAGTTTTAAGGTCGGTTCTTTGAAGTATATTATATTGCGTGGAGTGCCAAAGTTCTTATTGCCTAAATTTGATAGCATAACTATCGATTGTATGTACTTACTACAAAAAAACAAACGCAGCAATTAAATAGAAAAATCAAAATTGTTCTGTATTAGGTCGACTCTCAAATAGTGTGCCGTAATTGTTATGGCAATGACACACATTTTTTTGGAAAAGATTTTAAAAAACACTAGCCCGGATATTGTTTAAATAAAAAAAACACAAGGTGTGCTAGATTACTGGAGTGGAGTTGGCAATAGCATTCTAGCCGAGAATCCAGCAATGGATTTGCAACTTTAGTGTGAAGTTAACAACAATTGTAAAAATGTGCAACATGTAATAAAGCACACTTTTGCTTTGCGTGGTTTCTAATCAAAATCATTTTTTCTTATATTAACAGAAAAAAATTTAAATAAAAATCTCGTTCGAGATCTTCGAGAAGGATCACAAAACGCGAGACTGAACGACAAACGTAAAGGGTTCACCATGTTAGGTGGAATTTTTGATAAGGAGGAGAGAGGGGAGGCATGTTTATTGGTGATGTCAAAACGTGCCATAACCTCAAGAACGGAGTGTCGAAGGAGGGCATTAACAAAAAAAAAATGGAATATCTGGAAAACAAGACATGTATCTATTGGTGGCTTAAATGCGAATATATCAACAAGGCAGTGTTGGAAGAACTCATGTCCAAAGCCACTTCCTGCGGGTATGAACAGTTTTGCGGATAAACCGATTCTTCTAGCATTAAACAGCGTATATTTTATGTATAAAGCCCCAAGCCCACTCAACAATTAATTATTTACCTAGAACCTAAGTGCAATATATACTTACATTATACATTTATGTATGTTTGCTAGCATTTTGGGTAGTGATAATCAAAATCGTACCCAATCGTAGCTACCTTTGATCGAAAAATGTCAAAGTATTTATAAACCAATTTTGATGGAAAAACGTCCAAACGCATTGCATCGTCTTAAACCAATATAAGTAGCAAATATAAATAGCCTACATCTTTTGTTTGTTTTACATGCAGTATGGTTTTTATTAAATAAAATATCACGCCTTGGACATATGATTGCCGCTTACTCATCGGTTTTAGTCTAAACAAGCTGATAAATTTATATTTGAGTCAATTTATTAAAAAATTATTATCAAATATCTTATTACCTGATTAATTACCTGTAATGTTATCTGAACTACATGCAACGTGATGATCACTTTTCTGCATAATAAAAAGCGTGCGTGAAAGTATCCATAACATGATAGCCAGTACATCAGCACCTCGATCAGCACTCTGTAGTAGCGTTTGGGTCCTATCTAAAAATGACACAAGAATTTGCTACCTATTCAGAACCTCGATATTTTGAGTACTGGCTATACTTACTACAGTAAAGTTTTGACCCGGACATTTATAATTACTAACCGAAACCCGAGCCGAAACCTTTTGGAATATGTTCGGATGACGCTAAAAAGTC